GGCCTGCACCTGGGTGGTTCTTGTAACAGGGGAGAAGGGGGCATATTTGTACGATATTGCAAAGGTCTTAACAACAGATTTGTTATGAGAATGTTATTTGGTTGCTACTGCCCCTTTTCAAGGGTGACCAGGTTGTAAGCCTAGGGTACTACGGTGACCTCTACAGTAAAAGGAATTTGGGAGGGGGAGGGATTTGGGGGAAAATGAGTTCAGTTTTTGTATGTTGGATTTAAGATGTCTATGGGACACAGTGATGATGGGAGGGGAGAAGACCTGGAAGCGGCAATGAATGAAAGTGGGAAGGAGGGAAAGTGCAGTCAGTTGTCTATGGGACATCAAATCTACTAAGCTGTTGGAGACATGAGACTGGAGGTCAGCAGAGAAGTAGATTTGAGCATCTTCAGCATCTGATGGAATGGATGAGATCACCAGGTGAAGGAGGTCCAGGACAGAGTCCTGTGGGATACCCAGAGTTGGCAGATGAGAATGGCCCTGGGCTGGATTTGGGTCGGGGCCTGTGGCTTCCTTCGCACCAAACAGCTGGGCAAAACCCAGGCAGAACTTCCTCACTCAGGACGAGCCAGTCTAAGAATTTCTATCTTAACTGTGCTCAGACTGTTTAGGACTTCTCAAGGAATTTGGACCCAAAAGGCAGAAGAGATACGGGAGGGATGATCAAGTGAAAGTTTTTTGAGGGCAGGGAAGACTTGGGCACAATTGTAGCAGGAGGGAAGCAACCAGCAGACAGGGAGACAATGAGGACAATGGGGGGAGGAGACAGAATGGAGTCAGCAAGGAGACCTGTGCGGCTTAGGGAAGGGCAGACAGCAGCATCTGGAGGAGGGGCTAAGTGTAAAAAGGGGGGAAGGTCCACAGCTGAAAGGGTGGGGCAGGGGGAGCCGAGGGAGATCTGAAGGGGGAAGGGAAGACTGGGAAGAATGGCTGGGGGGCCAGAGCTGTTTAAGGAGGTAGAACAGAATTGCCCAGTAGTAGCAGTGAGGGCCTAGTAAGGCTGGGTAACACATTTGTGGTGCATCCAGTCCAGATGGTTGACTGGTTTTCTCCAGCTTCCTTCAGCATGACATGTACAGAGAAACTCTGGCAGTGGAATGGGGTTGGGGGTGGGGGGGGATGCAAGAGAAGGGCCAGTGATCCTCATACGGCAAGATCGGTACTCTGAGAGGGTGAGGGAAGGGAAGGGAAGACATTGTGAAACGGAAGTGGTTTGCCAGGGGGTCACGATGGGCAAAGGAGAAGCGTGAGTAGTGCAGGGATGATGGTCTGAGAGAGAACAGAGAGGTGAAAAGCCAGAGGTCAGTGACCATACAAGGGAATGGCAGGTTTCATGAACATAAAAGGGTCCATTTATGGGGGATGTCAAGATGAAGATATGGCCACTTCTGTGTGTGCCTGAGGTAAGGTAGACGAGTAGGGAAATGAGTAGGCTGGAAAACTGGGAGGTTATGGTGTTTGAGGGACCATCAGTATGGGTGCTGAAGTTTCCCAATATGAGGACAAGAATTGGGGAAGAGTCAGGTATTGAGGAAGTACCAACTTAGTAAGGAAGGAACTGTCATGGAGGTCTGTAGACATCAGTTACCAGGATTTTGATTAGGGTAGGTGTGGATTGTACGGTCCTCAAAGGAGGAAAGGTTACTAAGTCATGGTGGAAGCGGCCATGAGTCAAAGTGGGAATGTGCAGCCAGTGCTGGAAGGGGCAGCCAGGGAGACTGAGTCATCAGGAGGGAACCAAGTCTCACTGAGAACCACAAGATGGAAGAAGCAAGAAAGGAAAAGATTTAAGATGAAAGCAAGTTTGTTGTCTAAGATGAGGGTTATTTGTTTGGAACACTGGGGGTGGGAAAAAAGAATCAGGATGTAAGAGGTGGGGAAGGTGGTTTGGATGATCATATAGAAGGGGAGACCAGGCAGGATTTGTTAATCATTTGTAAACACTGCAGAGATTTTCTTTTTTTAATTAATTTATTTTGATTTATCAACAATCATTTCCATAAGCTTCTGAGTTTTAAATTTTTCTCCTCCTCCCTCCCCACCTCCCTCATTGCAGAGATTTTCAAAGTCATAGTATTAAGACCTAAGAACGCAGTTCTTTCAGAGCCATGGCTTCCAAGTACAGGCAAAAGGGGCAGAACCTGGAACAAAAGGATTGCTAACACTCTCCTTCCCTAAGGCAGGAGACCAGGCTGGAAGGCCCCTTCTCTCTTCTTCTCTCTGGAGGCTGAAGATGAGGCAGGGCACTTAACAGAAGCTTGGAGGCCTGCCCACCTTTCCTCTTCCCACTCCTGTCCGAGGCTGAAGACCAGGCAGGAGACGCCATCTTTCCTTCACTGAATCCTAAAAGGTGTCTTTACTGAACCCCATACCACCTTTCCTTTCCCCCTCATTACTGAACTTACAGAAAGAGTTGTCCACACCACACCAGTTATAGCACCTCTTACAGTGTGGATTCTGTCTCGATGACAATTCTACTCAATCTTTTCTCAAACCTTATCGCTCTAATGGAATTGAATTCTTTCAATGCTACCAGTAACCATCAGTTTGTCAAATCATTGAATCTAGGGCGATCTAGTCCAATAGATACCTGATTAGGGATCCCTTCTAACCAGATATTTGGACATTCACTGCCTGTGATCACATAACCACCACTTCTGCGGCGGTAACCAAGCCTTCCTCTGAACAGTTCTAACCTTCCCTAATAAATAGAGCCAAACCTCACCCATTACTCCCATTACTCCTAGGACAGAGGTCCTTAACCTGGGGCAAGTGAACCTATTTAATATTTTGACAACTTTTCAATATATCTCACGTATTTTATTTTATACATCTCAAAAAGCATGATTCTGAGTCATACACCAGACTGCCAGAGGGGTCCTAACACAAAAAAGAATAAAAAAGCCCTTCAAATATCTGAAGGCACATAACCCTTCTAGAGGCTCCACTCTCCTAGTGCCTATCACACTGTTTACACCTACAGAGGGCACAAGAGGTACTGACACCTATCTCTTCTCCCTGCCTCCCCTTCATTTTCACACAAACTTTTCTAGCTACAGCTCCCACATCCTGAGTCAGCCACAATCTCCCTAGGCCGACAAGGGAGTTGGGTTCTGAGATCCCTACAAAAAATGAACTCCATCACACCTTCAGGTCATTGATTAAATATGCTCGCTCACACACACGCTCACACACCCACACCCACACCCACACACACACCACACACTGCCCCAGACGTTCCTAACTATTCTTTGGGTCTGATTCCAAATCCACTTAAATTATGTAGTCCATATTTCTCCACCTTTTACATCAGGATAGTATGGAAAACTGTCAAATTTACTGAAATCCATACTTGTTTTCTCTATAACATTTCCAACTATTTAGAAATCTTGTCCAAAAAAGCAATAAAGTTAATCTGACATATCATTGTTGTCAAACCCATGCTGGATTTTGGAGGCTCTGATTTACAAACCATCTCTTTTATAACATTTTAGAATCCATGTCAATCTCGCTAGCATAAGGATGAAAGATTCCTCTTCTATTCCCCTTTTGGCTTTATGTATCAACATCAGGATGATGGAATAATGAATGTCATATGGTTTAGGAGGAATAGTATAAAGGAAATGCTCACATTAGATTCATTAAATGAGGTTAGAAGGAAGAGGACAGATCTAGTAAAGTTCAGCGTGGCCTAGTCCTCAATCTATAAGCAATCCTGAAGAGCAAACTCTATAAAGAAAAGGATGATCAGAGCCCCAGGAGAGACAGGAGTGTCTGCCCTTAAGTGACTTAATTTGTACAGGGCAAGACAAAATGGGTACAGAGAAAGAAATAGATAAAAAGAAAAGCTAATTTTGGTGAGAGACAGTAAATGGTGCTAGAGCCTAGCTCCTGAGGAAAATGAGAGGTTTAAAAAATATGTATTTATATCATTTCCCTCCCACTGCTCCTCCCCACCAAACAAAGAAGGAAGGGACGGAGAGAAAAAAGAAGGCGCTCATTGACATATATCATCTAGCAAAACAAATTCCCACACTGGCCATGGCTAAGAATACAGGACTCTGCGTTTTCAATACGCCACCACTGTGGAATCACTGGTGAGTGATGTATTTCATCTTCAGTCTTCTGGACTCGTGGTTATCAGAGTTCTGATGTCTTTCAAAGTTGTATTTCTCTGTAATGTTGTAATTATATAAATTGTTCTTCTAGTTCTGCTCATGCTACTCTGTACCAATTCCTAAGTCTTCCCCAGAAAGTCAGAATTCAGAAAGGCGCAATGAGAAGAGAATGCATCCTCTGGGGGATCCCCACAGGAAAAAGCCATTGTCAAAGAAAGCGAGATGAAGTGGTGGAATAGCCAGTGTGAAGAACAGCAAGAGGTGAAGTTTGGCTGGCCTGCAGAGACAGAGTAAGTGAAGGCGGAAGCAATGTATAATGCATAAGAATAGAGAAACAGGCTGGAGTCAGGTTGTGAAGAACCTGAAATGGCAAATCAAGGACTTTGGATCTGACTCTGGATGTAAGGAAGCACTTCAGCAATGAACAGACTGGAGAAGGGAAGGGAGACACGATCAGCAGGCTTGTCGAAATAATTCAGGCAAGAAATGATTTGCCTCTAACTAGAGTGGGGAAAGTGCTGCTGCTGCTGCTGCTTTTCTGGGAACAGACCAGCTTAAGGGGCTCATCCTTGGTTACCCTGGGTCTGTCTTTTCTTCATTAGAAAGGTTTTTTGTTTCCTCTTGAAGAATTCCATTCAAAAGTTTTTCCTGTGCCTCATGTGTTTTCTTCGGCAGTTTTAGGCCAACAAGCCCAACCTAGCCTTTTCTCTGAAACATGCTCTTCTAAAATCGTGTGTGTGTGTGTGTGTGTGTGTGTGTGTGTGTGTGTGTGTCTGTGTAATTCTCTAGAATTTCTTCTTCTCTAGCCCTGGCTCACACTCAGGTTCTAGTTTTGTTTGTTCGTTTGTTTTTGTACTGAATGTGGTGACTTTATTGATGGTACACAATATAGGACTCTAGGTTTCTCCCCACTACAGGGATAAGGATGTAAATGGGACATGGGATCCCCAGCATAGGGATGTAGGCTCCCCAGTGGCGGAACTCCTTTTTTGGCTGGGGATGAAGGTCCACGACATGGTGCCATAACCAAACTCACTGTCAAACCAGGAAACGAGCTTGACGAAATGGTCGTTGTAGGCAATACCAGCGCTACCATCAAAGGTATAGGAGTGGGCGTCACTGTGAAAGTTACAGGATACAGTCTGGTCCTCTGTGTAGCCCAAAATGCCCTTCAAGGGTCCCTCTGATGCTTGCTTCACCACTTTCTTCATATCATCATATCTGGCAAGTTTCTCCAGGCAGCAGGTCAGATCCACAACAGATACATACACTGAGAGTAGGAACACGGAAGGCCATGCCTGTGAGCTTCCCGTTCAGCTCAGGTATGACCTTGCCTACAGCTTTAGCAGCACCAGTGGAAGCAGGGATGATGTTTTGGGAAGCACCAAACCCATCACGCCGCAGCTTACAAGTGGGACCATCTACTGACTTCTGGGTAGAAGTAACGCCATGAACTATAGTCACGAGTCCTTCCACAATGCCAAAGCTGCCATGAATGACCTTGGCCAGGGAGGCCCAGCAGCTGGTAGAGCAGGAAGTATTACTGACAATCCTAAGGGAATTATCATATTTCTCACAGTTCACTCCCATCACGAACATTGGGGCATCAGCAGAAGGGGTAGAGATGATGACCCTCTTGGCTCCACCCTTCAAGTGAGCCCCAGCCTTTTCAATGGTGGCAAAGACTCCAGTGGACTCTACAACTGACTCGACTTCAGCATCTCCCCATTTAATATTGGTGGGATCCCGCTGCTGGAAGATGTAATGGCTTTTCCATTGATCATCAGCCTTGACAGTGCCCTTGAACTTGCCATGGGTGGAATCATATTGAAACATATAAACCACGTAGGTGAGGTCAATGAAGGGGTCACTGATGGCCACCATATCTACTCCACCTGTGGTGAATGCATCCCTGGCCACCAGGCACCCAATATGGCCAAATGTGTTGACTCTGACCTTTATCATCTTGTTTCAGGGATGCTACTGAAGCAGCAGATCCTGGCACCGGGCTTGGGAGAAAAGCCATCAGGTTCTAATTTAACACAAACAGTTCTGCCTTGTTGATTAAAGTCAGGTAGGAAGACTATTGTCTGCTGTCATTTCCTTTATCTTTGATTCCCATTCACTCAGACCTTGGTAGCCCTCATTCTCCAGGGTCAATCTCCCTCCTCATCCTGACATTTTAACTACCTTGCCTTCCCTCTCAGGTTGTCTCCTGGTTCTCAGACTCTCCATGATCCACCAGGGTAAAAATATGCCTTAAGAATCAGGCTTTAGGGGCAGCTAGGTGGTGCAGTGGATAGAGCTCTGGCCTTGGAGTCAGGAGAACCTGAGTTCAAATTTGGCCTCAGACACTTGACACGTACTAGCTGGGTGACCCTGGGCAAGTCAATTGACCCCGACTGCCTAAGCAAAGAAAAAAAAAATCAGACTTTAGTTCCTCCCTTAACAATAAATAGCCTTTGTTCCAAAAGCTTCAACATTTTGTACAGAGACCTACACAAATGACTCACAAATCTTCCTGGAACAAGCACCACAGCTACATGTCCACCAGGCCAGCCACAGAGACTGCTGGGGTTCAAGCTGAGCCTGCTCCCAGGTTTTTCCCATTTGTCCTCCTCAATTGTCGGAATGTAACTGCTCTCCCTCTTGCCTCCATCCTCTCTTTCCTTCACATCACTGATGAACTGACTAATTTTTCCAGATCCATAGACCTGGTCTTTTCCCTATTCTGTCCTGTTGACAAATGTTTTCATTTGCTCCCCAGTGTAGAATTCAGAACTTCCACAATGGGATACCACTCTCATTTCCTTCTGGCCTGATCTCTCTCCTTCTCCTCCCTGCTTTGCATGACTTTGGCCATATCTCTCCACTGGTTCCTGCCCCAAAGGGGCTGGCTCCTGTTCGCCCATTCAATGCCTGTGCACTGGCTATTCCCTATGCCTAAACTGTTTTTCTTTGCCCCCACTAGGGTACATGCTACTGAATTTCTAAGGCTTTAGAGTCTAAAAGACATGCCCCCTCTCCAGAGAAACTGCCCAGTCCATGCCTCCCCAGCAGGGCCATCCAAGGTACTCTGTTTACATGTCTACACGCTACGAAACTATTATTACTCTAAGGTAAGGTCTTGTCTAAACTTTTTACCTAGCCTAGTCCAATGCCCCTAGATGTAATAGTGCTATGCAGAGTAGCATTAACACTGAATTTGGTTCATTTGAAAAGCTGTTCTGTAGAGACTCAGAAGTCAATTTTATTAGGCCTTTTGGGGACAGCAAGGGAAAATGTGCTCTTTTAAGCCTCCTGAGAAACTGCCAAAGACAAAAGTACGGAAGGTACTAATGCCCCTTAAAAGGCTTATGAGCACATGAAGCCATTTCCTATAGTATGGGGGGATATTAGCATGGCACCTTGCCGACATCAGTCACCACGTGACCTCAGACAAGTCACTGAGCCTCTCTGGAGCAAGAGGCACATGCAACCACTTCCTCACAGTGTGGCTGGTAGGTTTGGAACTGGGAAGGATCTTCAAGGTCCTCTAATCTACCCTCACTTGCCAGGGAAGGAAAGAGAAAGCCAACATATTCTCCACTGTGCCACAAGAGAAACAGATGGAAATGTCAATTATTGATGCAACATCAGTCACTATGTAAGGGGCTCTAATGGCAAAAAAAAACCAAAACAAAACTCTGCAAGATAACTTGCAGATCCCTTGTCGTATAATGGGGGGGGGGGGGGGGGCCGAGAGAGAGGGCAGGTGGGGATTCTAACTGTATAAAGGCAAATACAGGATGCAGAGCCTGTTTGCTGACCTTGGCCTCCCTTCCTTTGCTACCATTACCTCCTTTATGATCCCATACCTCCTTTATCATCAGAATCGTGTACCTTCCTGGCCTGGAACCATGTTAGCCCCTGTATCCCCTGGCCAGTATAGGACACAATCTATTTCTTAGACACAGTCTGAACACAAAGTTGTGAGGCACTGTTAATTCTGTTTTCTTCAAACCTGGGTATTTAGATAGCAGAGAATTCCCTATTGCCTAAGGAACACACCAGATTTCCTTTCTGGCTGTTGTATAGAGCTAACGGCAGTTGTGAGAATTTTTCCATTTTCACATGCATTTTTAAACTATTTGCAGTCTCTCATTAAACTGGGATCTGCTGATACGGCTACGAGGAGTTAAGAGTTACTGGAGGGCCAGGTCTTAACTAGTATGATAATGAAGACGAGGAGATCCTGGAAAACAGAAATTGACAATTCATTGGGAAATGTCCACCTGTTCCCCACTAAATATTTTGCTAAGGCCCCCAAACAAGGTGCTGGGAAAATGGGAGAGGGGCTGAGACACTCTCAGATTGGCGGATCTCTTCAAGGATGGGCAGTGCTGCCCTGCTGCCCAAGTACCCACCTCCAACCAGCCTAACCCAGCCCAAGTGGGAGCTACAGAATATTACAAAAGTGAGGTTTGGCCTTTCATTTTTCCTAACTGGAGGGAAGGAAAGGCTGCCAAAAAGAAAAGAGGGCCATTAAAATGTGTTTTCAAAATACACAGAAGAAAGGCCAGAAAGAAGCAAAGACAAAAGACAGCTTTGAAATGACTGTTGAATATATCCTAAACATAACAGAGACAAGCTGGACATAACAATATTTGCAATCACTGTGCATATGGAAGGGTGCATTTCGGTTGATGCTTGTTAAATTCAAAATTTTAAAATAGGAAGAAAAAATACAGCAAAGAAAAAATGTGGATGTCTGAAAAGATAGTTAACGCCCCTCCCTTTCTCCTTCCCAATAGGCGAGGTCTAGATGCAGAATCCGCAAAATCTGGCTGGGGGGGGGGGGCGGGCGGTGTAAGAGGACAGGACTTCTGACCCAAGGAGTGGCAAGCACAAACGATAAATTACATGAAATTGAAAAGCTCCTCTCCTGACACTGCCACAATCCTGGTGCAGGTCCAGATGACCACATCTGGACTAGCCTCCTGGCTGGCCTGTCAGGCCATACTCCCACTCGGCAAGATCTTCCTAAAGATCAACTTTAACTGTCATCCCTCCATTCAAGCAACTCCACTGGCTCCCTAGGACCTCCAGGATCACATCTAAAATCTTCCAGACCCTGGCTCCTCTCTCCCTTTCCCGTCTTCCCCTCCCTCCCCTGCCCTACTATGACAGTGGCCTCCCCTCCTCAGGTCCATCTCCTCTCAGCTAAAAACCACCCCCCTCTGCAAGAAGCCTTTCCCCAACCTCCTCAATACCACTGCCTTCTCTGTTGATCTCATTTGTACATGGTTGTTTGCATGTTAACCCCCACCCCCTATCAGATTATGTACTCCCATAGAAGACTGCCTTTGACCTTTCTTTGTATCCCACAGTGCCTGGGCACATGGCAGGGGCTTAATAAATGCCTGCTGCTGACTGAAAATAACCAACACAACAACGCTAAAGAGGGACAGAGAACAAAGTGGAAAACTAGGTCTACAACGGTAATCTCCACTAGGGGTCGGAGGTACAAGGCCCATGCAGGAAACGCAAATATAAGAAAAAACAAGTACAAGAACCATTCCCCAATGGATCAGTGGTCAAAGGACAGTACTAGAAAGTTCTCAGAGGTGACTTGCAACCATATGAAAGATTGCTCTGTGGGGGGCAGCTAAATGGCTCAGTCGATAGAGTCAATGGTCCTTGCCCTCATAAAACGGTAGATCTGCAGAACAGCAAATTGTAGATATTACAATTAAGAAAAAACATAGGGGCAGCTAGGCGGTGTAGTGGCATTGAGTTCCGGCCTTAGAGTCAGGCAGACCTGAGTTCAAATTCAGCCTCAGACACTTGACACTTACTAGCTGTGTGACCCTAGGCAAGTCACTTAACCCCACTGCCTAGCGATAACTAATGAAATAAATAAATAAAAAGGGAAAACAAACAAACAAATAAATGAGGGAAAAAAGATTGCTCCAAATTACTGACAGGAGAAATGCAAAACAACCCTAGGGGTGGACAGATGAGTAAAGATGCGTCTCATGTTGGGGAAGCTATGGACATAACAAGCACATTAACACAAGACTTAACTAGTACAGCTGTGAAATGGTACAGGCCTTCTGGAAAGCAATAAGCAATTTGGAACTAAAATGTTGAAACTTTCACATCCAGAGACCCACTGGCAGGCCTCTGCTCCAACGAGGTCAAAAACTAAAAAGACCTATCCATAAAATATCCAGGAATAGTTTTGGTGCCAACAAAGATCTGTAACCAAAGCAGATGTCCAGTAAACTGAGGAATGGCTAAACAATGCTACTTCCTCATATAATATAGAACGTCACTATCCACAGAGCCAGAGTGAATGGGAAGAATTCAGAGAAGCACAAGAGCATATGAACTGATATCAAACGAAGTAAGAAGAATCAGGAAGTGATAAGAACAACAGTGACCCAATGCTGTGCCATTACAATAACTCAAGGCTGGCCCCAAAAGAGAGATAAAGAGGGGGGCCCTGAGTCGGGCTAGAGCTAGTTTTGCTGACTTGTTTTTTCTTCTCACTTCCTCTCTCTTTCTTCTTTCTCCATCTTTTGTTGTAAAGTTTAGAGTCCTCAGGAGAACAGTGGCAGATTCTGAGCAGTATCACTTTCTTAAACATTGGGAGGCAGTAGAGGAAAAAACAAGCTTAAAGAGAGCTTAGTGAGAGGCCCAACTAAACCCAGCTTACCCCAAAAGTCATCGAGGAACAAAACCAGAAGACAACAGTGACAAAAGACAGTTATCAAGACTTCTGTAAAAGATGATTTTTCCATCTATCAAGAAAATATCGGTGAACCAGAATATTATACATGGTAACAGCAACATTGTAAGCATGATCAATTGTAAGTGACTTAGCTATTCTTAGCAATGCATGTATCCAAAAGATTCCAAAGGAGCCATGATGAAAAATGCTATCTACCTCCAGAGAGAGAACTGATGAACTCTGAATGTAAATTAAAGCAGACTTACTTACTTTATTTTGTTTGTTTTACAACATGGCTGATATGGAAATGTTTGCTATGACCACACATGTATAATATGTATAACAGAAAACAAAGTGCTTGCTTTAAGGGGACTGGGAGTGGGGCTGGGAGGGGAGATAAGGGGGAAGGACAGAATTTGGAACTCAGAACTGTTTAAAATGATTGTTAAAAATTTTGCATGTAATTAGGGAATATTTA